ATACATTTTAAAAGTCCCCTTCCCAACACTGTTAATATGACAGACACAAGATTAACCGAACATGTGTTTAATTGGAGTCTGGTACAGAAATCGTCCTGGAGTAGAGAGATTGAGAACATTTTTGAGATTGCAGATCTCCGATTTATTTACAGAAATAAGTTCATCTGTAGTGCCAGACAAACGAGGAACATTTACTTTTTTTGTCATATATATTTTATTTTATTTTATTTTTTTTCCTATATTGTGGTCCTACGGCCACACAATACTGCCACAAGATGTACAAATATACAAATGCCACATTTAAACCCCCTCCTCCCCATTCCCAAACCCCGATTCACCCTCCTGACACCCACCCTTAACAGACACTGAGAAAAATTAAATAAATATAAAAATAAAATAAAAACATATATTATATGTTTAATATATAATAATAATAATAATAATAATAATAATAATAATAATAATAATAATAATAATAATAATAATACAATTAAGGAAAAAAAATTATAATAAACATAAAAAAATAATAAATTAAAATAATTATAAAATAAAAATACAATAGTAATAGTAATATTGACCAAAAAATAATAATAAAAATAAAGTTACGATAATTACATTAATAATGATGCAATCGAAATATATACAAATTACATACATGCACATACATACACATAAACGCACACACATTCAAGCACACACCCATAACAAATGCATTCAAAAAAATTAAAAAAAATAAAAATTACATATTTAAGTATATGTGTACAAGTGTCCACATTTACATTTACTTTGATAAACATAAACAAAAGTGGCACAATGCAATTTTATGTAAACCAAAATTAAGAACATATATCTTAATTAAATTAATTAATTTTGGACCTGAACCATATGTCACCCTGAACCTGAGCAGAGGTCAGAGGTCAGTATGTGCCCAGTTGAGGTGTGGGACTCTGCCTCTGGCCTTGGAGACGGGACGATTCCACTCAGTCCCAGAGGAGGAGCACATGTGTCTGTGCGACTTAAAGGATTTTCTGTTTTACTGTCCTTTGTATCATGAGCTGATCTGTCAGTTGTGTCTAATGTGTTTTACTGTTGGTTTGTTGTGTCTGATGAGGAGAGACTGAAGTACTTGTTTAAATGTAATGTTTTCAAGTTGGCTCAGTTTGTGTTGAAAGCCTGGCACCTCTGTAAGAGGACACTTTATGTTTGATGTGTGATTTGTCTGCTTATTGTTTTATGTGTCTTATAAGTACGGAAGCTGAGAGGGGTGACAACAAACGCAAGCACCGTAACAAATACAAATGCGACAACACAACAAAAAGCCACAATACATAAAAAAAAAAAAAAACACACAACACACCAAAAAAAAGCCACCACAGAAATGACCGTGGGACTCTTATTTTAATGCAAACGCAACATCAAATACAAACATTAATAAGCCGCAACACATTAAAAAGCCGCAACACATTAAAAAGCCACAACGGAAGTGACCGCGGGACTCTATTTTCCGACGGACCGATCAAGCGCCAAGTGAAGAAGAAGAACTACAACGTGAAAAGTAAAGGAACGGAGAAGTTGAAAATGTAAGTAAAAGTAATTTATTGTTTTATCATTATTTGTTTCATGTTGTAGTTCTTCTTCTTCACTTGCTGCTTGATCGGTCCGTCGGAAAATAGAGTCCCCGCGGTCATTTCCGTTGCGGCTTTTTTTGGTGTGTTGTGGCTTTTTGTTGTGTTGTCGCACTTGTATTTGTTGCGGCGTTTGCGTTTGTTGTGACCCCTCTTGGCTTCTGTATATAAGCCCATGCAGGCTGGGCACCAATTAAATGGTGTGTGACACTAAATAAGTACAATAAACTAAACTATAAACTAAAAAAAATATTTAGAACGTGTATGTTCAAATCTAAAATGTGTACCATTATGTGTTAACAATTCATTATTAACTTTCTTCATTCACTCCATACTTGGCTGCCAATCTGTACCACCGGCCTCCTCAGATCACCACCAATCACTCACACACAATCACACACCAAATTCATATTCTGCAAGGAGGGTGAAGTGTCTTGCTTAAGAACACAAAGAGAGAACTTTGCCCGAGCAAGAGTGACCTCTGACCTTCAGGTTGGTGAAGGAGCTCAAACCTTTGAGCCACTGTGTCTTGTATTTACTATGAACCAGTTTCACCACGGTCACTTCAGATGTATTAACAAAAAGAAAAGGAGTCAAAGGCTGTGTTCACACTGCAGCCTGAAGTGACCCAAATCTGATTTTTTGGCTTCTATGTGACCTGTACCTGGTCTTTTAATGACAGTCTGAACGACACAGATCCGATTTTTTCAAATGTGACCCAGGACACTTGGATATGTGCTCCTGAAACTGATACATATCTGATCTTTTGACATGTGACTTCAGTGTGAACAGCCAAAGTGCATTCATCCACCTACACGTTATCAACAAGCCACAAACGTCAGTATTCTGCTCTGAAGTAGGTGAAAACTGTCAATGAACTCCGTGTCACTGAAGCACATCTCCACTCACCACTCTTGGCTACGTCTCCACATCCACATGTTCCTTTCAACGGACGTCGCTGCCGCTGCCCCACAAAACACCACGACCAAAAACCTCGTCCTTCTCAATCTCCTCCTTAACTCTTTCCCCCATGAAGACGACATTTGACGACCCCCCTGTTTCCTTAATGACGACTTTTGACACCTCCGCTGTATCACTAAAGACGAGATTTGACGACCTTTAGAAATGGCTCGGTTTTTCACATTTAAACAGAGACTGTGATAGGTGGGGGCCACTACAACCCACACTAGACTGACCAATAGGATTCAAGGATATGTTTTCGCCGATTTTTTCCGAAGTTAATCGAAATAGTGAGGATTGTAGCTTCTGGAAAAAACACAACACGAAACACGAGCAATGGAAAGATCGCGCTGCGGCGCACAGTTTTAGAAATAATGAGGAGCGGACGTATTTTATGGATAAGTTTAGAGAAAGTGACTTTTATAGATTTCAAAGTGATGATGAGGGTGATTATAAAGTGGAAAACAGCGATAGCGACGGACTTACAGAGAGTGAATCTTTCGAAGATGAGAATGCCGCTGATGCGTCTGTATGGAGTCCTGCGATATCCGAACAAACTATCCGGGCTTTATATTCGATTATGAACCAAAATTGCCCTGAAATCACTCCACACCACATGGTGGAAGTCTGTTTTCTTTTATGCAATTATGCTCTGTGGGTAGCCCTAGTGACATATGTATTGGTTGTTCCTAGTAGGCGTCCAGGGGGGAAAGAGTTAAAACAAGTAAGTTGTTTATGTTCTGGCTCTGGTACAAGAGGAACTTTAAAATCTCCAGGTGCTCGATGCTGCATCCATGTTTGGACAACTTCCGTAAACACAGAGCACGCTCACTGCGGTTGACGTCATCGTGTCTCCAGTGCACATGCGGGACACTTTCGGGCCATTTAAAGTTCACACTGGAGTCACAGACAAGTCACATTTAATTGAAAATGTGAACGACCTCGCAAAAACATCGGATTTCACAAAAAAATCGGAATTGAGCATTAAGCCCTGCAGTCTGAACGTAGCCAAATAGAAGAAGAAAGAACCTTCCCTGCACCAAAGTGTTCTGAGTTCCACAGAGCAGAGCACACTGATTTTAAAGACATTGGATTTCTTACAGGACCAAAACTGCATCAGACTCAGACTTTGTGGAGGGAAAAAATAACAATAATGCAAAATTGTGAATATGCTACTTTTTACTGTACTTTTTTTAACCATACTTTTTTACTTTTGTCATCCAAAAATCCCCAAAATTAGGATTTGAAAGTGCTTCATAACAGTTATTTCAGTATGTCGATTGAACTGAAACAGAGCAAAGGATCATGGTCTATGTAGTTTTCACATTTTTTTTTGCTGTTTCTGCACCAAAACAATGATTTTAAGCAAAAAGGCTTGAGATTTGATATATTGTGACTGCCCCCGATATTATTGTGAGACTTTTGACGATACGATATCATGATATTTCGATTATTTACCCTTTTCTGTCCTGTTGTGTTACAGGGCAACCATGAGGACTTAAAAGTCTTACAAAGGTATTCAATTTCATGTTCCTAAGTTAAAGCTTTAAAAAGTCTTAAATTATATTGTCCAAGTCTAATTTTTTTCACAAAGGTCTTAAATTTCAATTGCCTATTTTTTGTAAACTCATCTGGGCTGCAGTGCGACGTTAAACTGAGGGAGGAAAAAAAAAAGCAACAACGTGAAATCACAAAACAAGAATGAATGTCTAATTTGGAGTATGCGCAAATATTTTTACTTGGGTACTTTTACACTTTTACTTAAGTAGATTTTTTCATGTGATATTTTTACTTTTACTTGAATATTTCTTTGCTCTCAATACTAACAGTACTTTGGTTTCTGTCGCCGGCAGCAGTGAATAAACCATCAGTAGAGCGGAGGAAGACGTTGGATGGATCATGGGGAAGTGCAGGTTTAATCCACAGTGGCTCTTAGATTCTAGATGCAGTATTGTAGTTGGTTGGTCATTATTAGAATTGGATCTGGTGTTTTTCACCCACAGAATGGGTGTGATGCTGGTCTTCATTTTCATTTAAGTGGTCTTAAAAACGTCTTAATATTTAGGGTAGTCAAACCTGGGGACACTCTGTATTAAGCCTATGGCCAAATAAATAAAAGTATATTTGTATATAGCGGTAACTTGCTATTGGTAATTAATAAAATGTCTGTTCTTATCTGAGTATATTCATTATTACTTATTAAGAATTCAAAATACACACAGCTGTTTTTGAAAAAAATCTTTATTTACAGATGATCTATATATAAAAGATCAGGAAAATATATGTACACAATATTCCAAAAGAAATATATAAGCTTCTGTTAAAAACACACATGTAAATGCTTTGATTACTTTTCCAATTCCAATTGAAGAAAGCCACTTTATCCATCAGAAGTGTGTGATAACTGCTCCTCCCTGACATGATGTATCAACATGAGCATAGAACAGACAGGTCATGTCACATCAACATTCTACTTTATGCTTTAAAACTCAGCTGCTAATTAACTAAGGTCAAATAATATTTTTTCATGTGAGCTTCAGAAAGAATGATTGTTGCAAGTCAAAATAGTTGAAGCCAGGACTTTAAAATGACACGTTTGTGGAGTCAATCCAAGATATTTTGTTGAAAATCATTGAATCTCCCATAGAGTTCATTTGGACTCTGTACTTGAGATTAAGACATGATCAGATTCTGCAGTGTGAACACAACCTCATGCTCTTGAACTCCTCACATTTTGATTGACTAAGCAATTATACTATGAAGTAACCACAACTGCAGCCACTTACAAGTCAAAACTAATTATGTTAGTCTTTAAGTAGCATTTACATTCACTTACCCAGTAATTATTTGGTAACACTTTATAATAACTACACTTGAATGACTTCATAATAAAGCATTTATTAAGAAGGTTTAGTAATGATCTTTCCTCCTAACTTTAACCCCGTCATGTAGTAGTCATTATAAAGCTTTACCAGTTCTTTTTTAATAGTATTTCACTTGACACAGCTGCCATCACAGATCCATCATGAATCCCTTTTCTCTGAATCAGATTTGTTGGATTTGGAGTTGTTTTTCTGAGATGGTTCTTGAGCTCGAGCCATGAGTTCATCCATTGGGGAGCGATTGCTGTGAGCCTCCTTCTCTTTACAGTTTCTCCATTTCATTCTACGATTCTGAAACCAAATCTTTACCTACGAAAAACAAAACATCATTTGCTTATTAGTTTCTAATTTTTATTTTGACAGTTTCACTAGTAAATTAAAGTAAAGCTTTAAAATGTAATCAATGAGTTAAAAAGTGCATGAAAATGTCACTACAAAATTGAAATAGCAGTTCCTAGCACCCAAATTACACCCATATCACAAAATGTTCCAGTATCGTGCGGTGCTTGAATACCTGTGATTCCTTGAGACTGAGGTTTGCTGCTAATTTGTTCCTGTCTGTTTTGCTGATGTATTTCTGTTTCCTAAAGGTTTTCTCCAGCTCTTTCCGCTGCTCCTCTGAAAATACCGCTCTTCGAAGTATCCCTCTGCGAGCTTTTGGGTTATTATCAGGAGCCCATGTTGGAAGATTCGTACTCTCTGAAAGGTAAAGAAAAACACTGTCACATGCTTTGAACTGTTAAGGACCGAACGTTTGTCAGTTGAAACTACATGAACTGTTGATGGAACAGTTTCCTCTTTGACTCAGAGATTATGTCTTGTCACACTTGAGCACACTCTTCCATTTGTTCAATTTAACAAACTCAGGGTGACTAAAGAGAATAGGAAGGCATTTGAATGGAGAAAAAAGGATTTGGTGAACTGTGAGGAGCAATCCCACGGTGCTTCACTCACAGGTGCATGCACAACAAAAGTCAAGAGGAACGATTTATCCAGTCTATTCAGTGTTGCCTTTTTAATCTGTACGACAAATGTGCACATAGACCACCTCTAGGAGCACATAACAGGTTTGGACATGCCTTTCACTTCTCTATTGGAGCTCAATGGTTTTGACTTAAAGAGCTGATTACCAGGTCATCCCTGGGCAACGTGTGTGTCTCCTCCAGTGGCCCCACCATAGAGCCCTGAGGAACCCCCACAAAAAGCCACTTCAATGGAAATGCCATTACTCGATGGTTCACTGGCCCAACACTAAATCTTTTCACTTGCAGGTATGAAGGCAGTTTGTATGCGAAGATGAGCTCGAATAAGTCTATAAAAGTCAATTGCATTGAATGCTTTATGTTGTAGTCAAGGGGTCCCCAATGGGCAGGAATGAGCGCTGAAGGCCAGCAGAAAGGAGGGGGAGTGGGCTAGCTGAGCTCTTTAGCCGCACAAAGGCTGGGGGATGTTCCTGTCCAGCCCTCACTGCTCTGAGATGGCCAGAGGTTTTGTGCCCATTGGAGTTCATTGCTGCAGTGAAAAATTGAGGTGAGGTCGCGTGTGGATGGTGGACTGAATGTGCCGATTGGTCACGGCCAGCGCTGGCATTGTTGTGTTGCCGGGCACTGTGGGAAAGTATCAGCCTACATGATGACTCCAGAGACCTTATCAAGAGGTGTTTATTCCATAACAGTTGATGAGAATCATTACAATTATGAGCTACAATGCATCGATGTCACATAAGTTTGTTATGTGAACATAAGTTTGTTTCTGCCGCCTCGGTTGTGCATTTCTATTTGTGATTTCATCATTGAAGAAATACATTATCTTTGGGCACTGATGCTGAATTCTGCTTTAGAATTTAGTCTCCACGTATCCATGGCTTTGACAAAATGGAGAGGGCCTTGGTGATGTTTTTGATTCTATATTTCTTTCATGTTGCTTTATACTTGATCATTTGTTGTTTTCCAGCATGTTTTTTGTAATGAGTTTACACACTACGTGTGTCTTGTGTTTATACACAGTAATGAAGACCTTTAACCTTCAAATTAAATTTGTTGTCTTAATTAAAACTGATTACATTTCTCACAGCAATTATAACCTTAATATGACACAAGACAAGATGTTTATTAGCTCTGCATATTTGCACTACTAAAGTGTGTATGTGCCAGTACAAAACCTGGGGCCCTGGGGGCTTCTAAAGGCCTGCAGCCCACCCCTCGGCTCGATCCCAAACAGCCGTGAATGCCCATGAATAGAGCTGTGCAGAGTTGAACGCAGAATTAGCTCTTTGGCATTGCATCAGTAATTAGCTGTGAAGAGCATGGGAGACCCTGCTGCTAGCGCTTAGAGAGGAGCTGAGGCAGAAAACACTCACTGGAGAAGACGGGAGGGGGGCTGGACCCACCGCAGAACGCCAGGAGGTACGGGTACTCCAGGCCCGGCACCAGCACACGGCTCAGCACACCTGCACAGACGAGCGGCACATGAGGAACAGACGGGTGGAGGAAGCCAGTGCAACACCCACTACACACTGCTGTTGTGTCCTTGGGCAAGACTTTGTCAACCTTGCCTGTTGTGAATGTGTTGATATAATGACTGGCTCTGCTGGTCTCATAGGCCATATACACATTATGACAGCCACACCTGTCTGTCTGCCCTGTGGGCAGCTGTGGCTACATCACAGTCATGCTTTTTGAGGAGACAGTGGCTTAGTGGTTAGAGCAGTGGTTCCCTTTCCCAAAGGTTGGAGGACTGATTTCTGCTTGAACCAAGTTCTGTCGTTGTGTCCATAGGCAAGACACTTGCGTAGCCACATTGCGCAGTATGAACATGGTGTGTGCGTTTGATTGGTGGAGATGGTGCAGATCAGCAGCCTCACTTCAGTCTCCTGTAGCTGTGGCTACAACACTAGCTTACATCACCGAGTGTGAAGTAAATAATGACACAGTACTTTGAGAGGCTTTGACAGGCCTGTAAAGTGTAAGGCTTTATTATTATTATTATTATTATTATTATTATTATTATTATTATTATTATTATTATTATTATGAGCAGTTGTAGTATCAAAACACATGTTGTATTAATTATTCTCTCCATACTTGAAGCTGGCGCTGCCAATCTGTGCCGCCACGATCACTGGAGAGCAGCACATTCATACTAAGGTAGGTGGGTAGTGTCTTGCCTAAGGACACAACAACACTACCCCACTCGAACCAGGGTTAGAACCACCTCAGCTGGTTGACAAAGACTTTAACAACTGTTGTGTGTCAGCCCATGCACTTTTATTCTGTTACACAGCGTGGTCATGGCGTCATGAACTAAACTTAAGTGCAATGAGAAAACAAAATAAACAAATGAAAATTTTAGTATTCTAAAATGATTTAGAATATTAAATATTATCTGAAGATGAATGTGTTGGAGTCAGGTCAGTTTGACAAAGTTTTGGTTTGAGTTGTAGGCAGTTGGCAAATTGTGCTCTCACTTGAATCACACTAGAATAATGTCTATTTTACATCATTCATATATTATAATAATATTATAATATATTTGTATCGATCTATCTCTATCTATCTATTTATACATATACACACACACAATTGTATACAAATTCAAGTTATTTTGTACAATGTATTTAACTGGTGAAGCTAGATTTAGTCTGAACTGTACCTGGGTGTTGCAGGACTTGCTCTGGACTGTGGCCTGGACTTTGATATCCTCCTCTGGACTCACAGCTCCAGCTTCGCCTGAGACCAGGAGCTCGCCTGGGCCCAGTGTCCTCTGTCCCCTGTCCCCCTGGCTGTGTCCCGGGTCTCTCTGCTCGGGGTGGAGAGGTTTGTGACTGCAGCAGGTTGTCGATGAGAAAGCACTTTCCGGAGCTGCCGAAGCCCGCTAATGGAGGAGGAGAGGCCATGCTCGTCCTGACGCAGCCCTGCACTAAGACCATGCTCCACTGTGACTAGAGGCGCTTTAATCCTGTGGGACTGACCAGGCCAACTTCATTAAACTCAGAGCAAAACAAAAGTTCACTGCTCCTCTTCCCTCGGCCGGCACTGGGCTACAGGCCGCGCTGTGATTGGCTGAGAGACCCTAATGTGCTCACAATTCAGATAAGGCTGGGGTCTATTGGAGTGGCAGAAGGTGGGTCTGGCTCATTCATTATGTCAACTAGCCTATTAAATGATAGACACCAGAGACAATGAACTGCTGGCCTAAGTTTCACATTCACAGAACAGTGGCTGCAGTAGTAAATAGTTCCCTCTCTCACTCAAAGCTCCATTGTGCCTCACAATCCCACTCTAGTTCATTTGCAATTGCCATTTGTGCCTTTTTAAAAGGCACTTCATTTGAATCTGCTATTCAAACATTTTATGAGCTTTTTACAATTTAGATTTATTGACATCATTGTAACAACAAACTTTTTTATGAAGCATTTATTTAAACCAAGTTTCTCACATAATTCTTCTAAAGGGTTTTTCCTGATATTTGTTCCCATAGATCTTAAATGATGTGGGTTAAAGTTGTACAGTCAGATGTGTGTGATGTGCCTCACAGCACACACTCAACTACAGCCCAAAGCTGAAACTCGAAACTGCAGCTTTGAACATTCATATCATGTCAGCCTAAGTCCTCAGCTGTGAGTCCTGTACTCTGAGTCCTGAGCTGTGAGTCCTGAGCTGTGAGTCCTGAGCTGTGAGTCCTGAGCTGTGAGTCCTGAGCTGTGAGTCCTGAGCTGTGAGTCCTGAGCTGTGAGTCCTGAGCTGTGAGTCCTGAGTGGGATGGGGGCCCTGAGGGGTGCAGCCCGCGCCTGCCCGAGCGTGTGCGTACCTCATGCTGAGCATGGAAATTGGCCCAGACAGCCGAGCCCATTGTGTCATGGCCAAAGAGCCAAAGGTTGCTTGTAATCAAATTTGAGGTTTTATTCGTTAGCTGGTGGAGAAGGCCCAGCGCTCTGTCACACTGTGACTGTTGCACTTTTGTGTAGTGATCATGTAGTGTGTTCACAGACGACCTGTCACAATAAAGCTGTTCACAGAGATCCATTCAGAAAAGACAACATGACAAATGCCTGTTTTAATAACATGCCTTTAGATAAAGTGAAGCCAATTATAAAACTGCTCCTTTATTTTATAAATACTGAAGCAGCTCATCCTTTGCTCCCACAGCCTCATAAACACCACTCCCAGATGACATTACATTTGCCTCCACATTTTAGCACTAAGGCTAAATCACTTATCCATGTCCAAACCTTTTAAAAGTGTCTGATCATTGAGCCTCTCCACTCCACTGAAACATGCAGATTCCTCAGAGGCAGGTGTAATTGGGCCTTTCTCAAACAGACTGAAGTTCATGTGAATTTATTTGATGTCCACCTCTTTTTGAAATGGAGGGAAAACTGGGTTCCTTCTTTGACTGTTCTCACAATGGAGCTGTTGAAAACCAGCCCTCTGTAGACCAGCAGAGAGCCCCTTTCTCTCCTTTTTAACCCCACTAAATCTCTTAAAAAGATAGCGCCCCATTGCCCATTGCAATTGATATTCCACCACTCGAACTTAATATTATGAATGGAGGGCCAGGCTCCATGAATCAGGCGGACAATGTGCTTAGCTTAGCAGCAAACTGGCCCTTTCTGTGCCGTGTCTGTCCCAGAGGAGGAAGTTTCTAATGTGAGAGCCACAATTGTGTGTCTATAGAGTTCTAATGAGCTTGTGCATGCAGAGTGAAAGGCCGGGCTCTATTCAAACGCACGGCTCAATGAGGCGCTTCATTATTGCACACATGGACAATAGAGCCGCGCCAATGGGGGTGTCCGCGCTCCCAGTCCATAAACCAGCCTCAGACAGATATGGCTTTTCTAATAGGGGCTAAACATGAGGCTAATGCTGTTATCTGACGCCAGGGTTGTGCAATTAATTGAATTTTAATCAAATAGAAAGCCAGTCATTTCAAACTGACACTGATCAGCCTGGGGGTTTTAATTGACAGGTACAGCTCATCCTCTGGTCAGGAAAAGCATGTGGAATCAGAATTTCTTTTCTTTCTTTTTTTTATTTTATTTATTTCGGTCACAGGTATATTTTGACATTAATTCACAGACAGTCATATTTAACACACACAGACCGAAAAGGTGCAGGCTGAAGCTTAATCTTATTCTGCCCTTTACCCTTTATTCCTTTGTCAGAGCTTCATCTTAACACCAGTTCATCTTCAAAAATACAGCAGGAGGAAACAAACTAATCAGTAACAGAACAACAAAGTACTACAGCACAAACTAAGTCTCATATTTCATGTATCTGTCCAGAGTTAAACATTTAAACTTCTTTATGAATTAGAATTAGAATTTACTTGTCATTTCAGTATAAAAAAAATACACAGACACAAAATACTGCGCTCAGGTCCAGGTCAACAGCAGCATAGATAATAATAAGAATAAATAGTTAAAATATTGTATGTCAAAAAACAGCCCCCACCCGCCCCCGTTTTCTAAAGTGCTTTCCAAGTCAGTGTGGTTTTGTAAGGAGCATTAGTGTCTGCGCTTTCTGACAGAACTGATCTGTCTCACGGCATCAGGATAAAAACGGCATCAGGATAAAAACTGTTCCGTAGTCTGGTGGTCCTGGCCTGTAGGTGGCGCAATCTTCTGCCTGGTGGAGTTCAGATTTTGGAAAATAATTTGGAATATATTTTGTGTTTAAATGTCTTGTTTATATTCAAACATAATACATTATTTTACACAGGAAAAAAAAAAAAAGATTAATATTTTTTGCCCACCTCTCTCTGATGGTGATGCTTTACCAAGTATGAAGTTGTAGTTTCCAATATTTCAGAAATGACTAAAGCCAAATATATGAATAATTTGTTTAAGCATTTTTTTTAATAATGTAAAATGGTAAATAATTAACAAACTTTTATCAAATATCAGAAAATTTCAATATATATTTTTTTTATTTTGGTAGTTGCATTTTATATTTGTTCCAATCTTTTATAAATGTCTGATCAACATGCACCTTCTCCATATGACCACAAGATGGCAGTAGGAGAATATGTCTGAAATAACACTGACAATTGAGTTTAACATTTCATAACCACAGTCAGTATCTAAGTTTAAAATCATTAATACAGTATTGCTTTTTTTTATATATATATATAATTTGAAGTTTTAAATATGTTCACATAACACATCACCACCATTTTACCTTTTTCCACTTGAGCGTCACGGCCCATTTAGAATCTCCCAACAGTTCTATTATCAATGCTGAAACTTCACTGCGCCATGTTAATAATTGATCTCAAATCCTGGCACACGTTTATTGGCTCTTCTGTTGTATTGGTTTGTCTGGACTGAGCAGCAGTTATGAATAATTAGTCTCCCATTTGAGCAGGGAGCGGCTGTCCTTGTCCTCGGAGTGAGCACTGTTCAGATGTGAGCTGGCACCGCTCCCTGTACTTTTGGCTCGGCAAATGCTTTAATCTTATTTGCCTCTTCTGGAAAGTAGTTACAATTTCTTGTCCAGACGTTGTGAAGTAATCAGTTATGTATTGAGAGGAGATGGTGAGGGGTTTTGCAGAGCTGTGGAGATACTGCTATAATCAGGGCAGCTGCGGGGTCTTAAAAGTCTTAAAAAGGTCTTACATTTCATGTTCTTAAATGAAGGCCTTAAAGTCTTAAATTATGTTGTCCAAGTCTTATTATTTTCTCAAAAGTCTTAAATTTCATTTGTCTATTTTTTTGTATATTCAACCGGGCTGTACTGCACGTTAAACGGAGGGAAAAAACACAACAACAAAAAAACAACAAAACAAAAAAAACACAATCAGAGATATCAACCTGGTCCCCATGAGGCGTCGGCAGTGTTGGGGAGTAACAGATTACATGTACCAGAGTTAAGTAATCAGAGTACAAATTATGAGTAGCTGTATTCAATTACAGTTACTGTTTCAGTGAGTGGTAATGGGATTACAGTTACTTTGTTGAAATAAATGGATTACACAGAGGGATTTTCCCTGTTTTCATATTTTGGGTTAAACCAGGACTAAACCAGGATTAAACTAAAACCAGGACTAAACCAAGACAAAAAAAAAAACCAGGACTAAAACCAGGACAAATAAGGACTAAACCAGGACTAAAGTAATTCCAAAGTATTAGATTACATTACTCACTTTAAGTAATTGAATGGATTCCGTTACAAACTACATTTTGGGGTATGTAATCTGTAATCTGTAGGGGAATACATTTTTAAAGTAACCTTCCCAACACTGAATGCGGGTTACACTAAGCAATAACATGTCCTCGGAACCAAGCAGGTAGCAAACCCTTCATCAGAAAAAAAGTTACATTATACACCTTTATTGTTGTGTTTTATCATCATGATTACTGTGATTAATTATGAGTACTGTCACGTAGGGGAGTAACAATAACCAAAATATTGTGATATTGTATCATCAAAAGTCTCAATAATATCGTAGACCATCACAATATATCGACTCACAAGTGTCTTTGGTGGTAATAAGTGGACTTGTAGAATAGTTTAGACGATCATATCAAAGCTTTTACAAACTTGGTGCACTTCAAAAAACAATATAAAAATCAAATCTTACAGAAATACCTAGAAGACTAGATCCACTGTCCAAACCACAACTGCTGACTGAACACATGCTTTTCTTTAACTTTTTTACTTTTTATCTAACACCTGGAATTTGCAGGTAGCTTTAATAACAAAGCCAGTCAGTCAGTGTGTGGGTCTAACAACCATACGGCAGCTTTTATTTACAAAAATATTAAAGGTGCTTTTAACAGGTGAGGATACTACTGCAGGGGTGCGGCTCCATACTAAAGCTTGGGTGAAGGAGACATGCTATAAAGTGAGAAAACGAACAAGATTAATACAAAGAAAACCATTACCACAACTGAAA